CTTCACTGAGTTACGCAAGCCCCTTCGCCACGACAAGGCAGTGATCCATGAAGGGGACAGAGGACTATACTTCCAAGTAAATATCCATAGCTCAGACAGCAAGGTCTCTTGAAAGAAATGGGTTTGTCAATCAAACAGCTGTATTTCCTCCCTTGCCTTTAATGGGGATTAGTTATAATTAGATGGATTGGGGTCAAGGCTTTGTAATGAATCCTATTTTTAATGCCAATTCCTCCCAAGATGGCTCACAGCATGTTTACACTGGCCTATTTTGAAAGCGCTTCAATGTGCTGGATTTAATTTCTAAAGAGAGAAGCGGTAGGCATCAGAACTGCTAGGAAGCCATGCCTTCTGGCCTGGATGCAGAACATAACCTCTCAATACCTTTCCTCTTTGCTCATCCCTTCCACCTTCTTCTCAGCCCAGCTCTTATCAGGGGCATAATCCCATTCCACCTCTTCTGCAGCAATGTAGTAGGTCCTCACTGTTCCATAGTGTCTGCCATCAGATGGTCTCTTGCCACAGGATCTAACGTCATACAGCTGCTTCATCCCCCCAGTAAAGTGATCAAATGTTCTGCAAACCACTTGGAAAGTCCCTGAAAGGAAATTGAGATGTTGATCACAACACTAGCTGACCACAGAGAAGATTGGAGGTGCAGTCATGAACATGAAAAAAGTTTAAAAATTTAAAATGGCCAAGTTTTGTATTAAAAATGAATAGGTCCCATCCACAGGGTTTTAATACAAAAATAAAGACAGGTTATATTATGGAGAGGAAGGAAAGGGATTTAGCTGGGAAAAACTGAGAAACCAAATGTGGATGAACCCAAACTAAATGAAACCAAATGTAAAACCAAATGTGAAACTAAATGAAACCAGATGTGAAATCAGAAGAAGAACCTGTTGCCCATTTGAACGGTGTAGCAGGAAAAAAGGAGGGCAGGAAGGTAACAAAAAGAACAATCATAGGTGTAAAAAGATAGCTGGAATCCATAAGGTGAATGATTCACAAAATTAATTACTCAGAAGGATGCATAATTTGTGTCCTGCCATCATGTTAAATTAGCACAAGGAGAGAGCGCTTTGGTAACAAGTCAGAAGACGATGGTGAGGTACCATTTGTAAGACCTACCTATTTGATCTGGCTGCATCAGTGCAGTGGTTGAAACATGGGGGAGCAAAGGGAGAGTGTCCCTTATTGTGCCTCCCAAATGGATGGTGTTTCCTTGGAAATGAACGCCATGCACATCTTTACTGCTGCCCAGTCCAAGCATATGCCAAGAGACATTGTCGCCTTCACACATGTTGAGGCCAGGCAAGGTACCAAATAGGTAGCCATTGACCGCTGAAAGGAGGAGGAGAAAGTTGCAGGAAGGCAGATTCTGGTTGAATGATAGAAAAACAGTAAGAATAGTTGACAGTGGAACCCATCCCCAAGGGGAGTAATGGACTCCCCTTTAAGGGTTATGTTTAAGGAGAAGCTGAACAGCCATTTGTCAAAGACGCTTAGTTTGGATTCTTTGACTGAGCAGGGATTTGGACCCAGTGATCTAAATGGCCCCTTTCAGCCCTATGGTTTTATTCATTCCACTTCCCGTTTCTCATGGGTGGTTTCCCATTTATCATTGTAGTGTCCCATCCAGATGTAGTATACTTAGTCCTCGTTGGTCTGTTTTGTTTTTTCCCCTCTCCGTTTTGGGGTTTTATGGGAGCCTGGACATACTGGTGCCAAATCCCACTTACATTTAAGTTGTTTTGTTTTAATTTTTCAGGGCTATGGGTTTTGTCCCATAAGCTATTTAAAAACAGCTTCTCAATTTGAACCAGCGAATGAGCCATCAGAAGCATTTATGGTTCTTTGAACATGCTTTGGTTGCTGCTGTGGATGACTTGTAGTGGGACTTGGATATGGGGGGAGTGCAGCCTTCTTGGTCCTGGTTGATCTCTCATGGCATTCAGTACCATTAATCATTATATACTTTTGGAGCATCTGTGAGGATTGAGGGTGATGTTTTATAGTAGTTCTGCTCCTTTCTAAGTGGGAATTCTGATTGCTGCCAGTGAGAAAAAGAGGTCAATCTCCTGGACACTCCAATATAGGGTGCCTCAGGACTCAGCCCCTCTCCCCTTTTGGTGATGCATGACAGTATGCTGATACCCTGTTGATATCCAGTTGCCTTTCCACCTCAGGTCAAGCAAGAGATTTGGGAGAAGCCCTGACCCAGTTCCTGGGAGGGATTGGATGGAACAGACCAGGCTTAAGATGAATCCCAGCAAAATAGGGTTGCTGTTTGTCCATCTTCAGGATAATTTCATCTTTAGCTCTAGATGGCATAGTACTCCTGCTGAAAAGGGGGCAATCTAGGGATTCTCCTGGATTCACAGTGCCTGCTAGATCAGCAGACGACCGCCATGTCAGAAGAGTCTTTATCCAGCCGGTGTGCCAGTCGTGATCCTTCCTGGGTCAGGAGGCTCTGGCAATAGTGACTCATGCTCTTATCATCTCTTGTTTGGACTACTATAATTTCCTCTACATCGGGCTGGAAGACTACTCAGAAACCACAGCTGGCGCAAAATGCAACTGCCCATTTGCTAATGTTATAGTGGGTAACACTTGTATTGTGGGAGTTGGCTGCCAGTTGACTTCCTGGTCAAATTCAAGGTGCGGGATATTAGTTACAGTAGAAAGCCCTTATGACTTGGATGCTGGCTACCTATGGACCATCTGCTCCAGGTAGAATTTGCCCTTCAAGGCCTTGGTCGCATCCCCCTCTTTCTGAAACAGCCTATCTACCCCTTGATGGACTTTAGGAAGGCCATTTTTCTATGGAGCGTTCAGAGCAGAGGAAGCCATATAATTGGGAGCAACGGTCTAGAAGGCGTCTGGTTTTAGCATGGCAGATAATTGAAACGATTTTATATTTTCCTGTCTTTTTTCAGTGCATTGTTTTATTGGTTTTATTAAATATAAACTGTCTGGTCTTTAATGAAGCAATATACATGTTGTTGTTCTTCGTGTTTGTTCTGCTTAGTTGAGGGTCTGCTTTTTTTTTATCCTGCCTTTATTATTTTTTATAAATAACTCAAGGTGGCAAACATACCTAATATTCCTTTTGCACTGCTTGCCTAGCTCTTATAGTGAAGCTTATCAATGTTTTATTTTTTATTGTATTTTATTTTATTATCCTAGTACTGATTAGGGCTGAGAGGGAATGATTTGCCCAAGGTTACCCAGGTGGCTTTTATGTCTCAGAGAGGACTAGAATCCAGATCTTCTTGCTTCTAGTCCAGCCCCTTAACCATTATACCATTCTGGCTCTCTAGCATGCATATGGATGTAATAAATAATAAACACACAAATAAAGTTGTTTTGTTTATCACCCTTTGCAGCTATCTCGTTCTATTTCTTTCCCCCTTTCATATACATATTTTATTTATTTATCAAATTTATATGCTGCCCATCTCACCGTATAAGTGACTCTAGGCGGCTTACAAGTAAGAAGAACTATAACATCTTTACAAAAATATACAAAGCTAAAAGCTAAAAAAGTTAAAGCTAAAAACTAAAAAGATTAAAACTAAAAAGGCAGAGAGAGAATCCGGAAGTTACCAACCACCCCCAGTGCTGGGAACCCCCACTGGGTCCCCATGCAAGTTGGCACAGCCAGATCTTAACGCCCTTTCGGAAGGCCAACAGAGTGGGGGCCAATCTCACCTTGGGGGGCAAGATGTTCCAGAGGGCAGGAGCCACAGCAGAAAAGGCTCTTCTCCTGGACCCCGCCAGTCAAAATTCTTAAGGGGTCCATAACATACCCTTCCTGCTGGACCGGGTGGGACGGTTTGATGTGATTGGGACAAGACAGTTCCTCAGTTAACCTGGGCCCATGCTTTGAAGGGCTTTAAAGGTCATAACCAACACCTTGAATTGGACCCGGAAGCAAACTGGCCTTTATTTATAAGTTAGCTTTTAATAGGATAAGATATTGTTTGTAAGGTGTTGCTTCAGACCACTAGAATACATCAGTTCAGAATTCAAACTCTGTATATCAGAGGCTAAGAGCAAACTACAGAATTATTTTCTTGCTTATAAGCTTTCCGCAGGCACTTTCTGGCACCGCTAAAAATCAGATTCAGGACAGGAAGGGCCTTATGCGTGATCTGTCAAGTGCTTTTCTTGTGTCAGTTCCCATGGAGATACGTCTCCCAAGCAAGTATATCTTGTAGACCTCCAGTTGTTTGGATTCATTTCATTAGCCAAGTTGGCTGGACTTCATTCGAGCTGAACAATATCCAGAGGACCACAGTTTGCATATCCTTGTTTTAAGGAATACTCTATGAAAATCATTCAACCCTATCCTCTTGGTCATGCAGGCTTCTGCTAATACAGTTCGATACCTATCAGCAATTCACTTTCCATTGATGACAAGGTTAAAGTTGATTAAGGTTGCATCTAGTGACTACAGTGAGTCTTAATTCACTGACATACATTGTTATTAAAGTACTTTTATGTCATGGGAATGCAAAAGCTTAACCACCACGCTCATCATACACGTATTAAGTTGGTTACATTGATTACACACTAGCAGGCAGACACAGTGATTCACTAGATAATTTTTTTTAAAAGCTTGCAAGGTTTATAATTAATAGCTGCTTAATCATCTATGAACAACTCTTGTGCTATTCAAATCATACAGATGGTAGCGGATTAACAGTCTCAGCCTAAATTTTCTTAGATGATTTTTTAAAAATTATTCATTATATAATGTTACAAAATGTATTGCAAGCTTGTAATTAAGACCACACAAGGAACTATGAGAATCCATCCAGTTATTAATTTCATTTTTACATATTTTATCTCTCTTCTGCAGATGTACTGAAATAGCACAAAACCTTTACATGTATATTTTAATATGCACTTTTGCTAATACATGTGCTTTTAAAACGTAAAATTTAACATGGGGTGGTGGGTGGGAAACCTGTTAAATTACAAAATGGCCTGGGGAATAAATGCAGCCTGCTAGTATCTCTTTTGTAGCCTAAGAGTCCCTCCCAAAGTGCATGGGGCAAAATGTTCAACTTCTCCTTTTCGTATGTTTTGGATTTGTGATGGATGTTAAGAGAAGATGGGTTTCTTAAGCCTCTGCAAGTCTCAAGGCACCCATTTCACTCTTTTAACACCTCCTGTTTCCCTCTCCACTAGATCCTAGTCAACAAAGCCTCATCTCAAGTCTAAAGAGGCTGGACAGTCTTGTCCCTAATATAAATACTTTTGTGCACCTATTTTGAAGAGCTAGTTTCATCTAGTGGTTCAGGAGATGGTGAGTTCTAGGCTCCCTTAGGCATGAAAGCCGGCTGGGTGACATTGGGCTGGTTCCTCTCTCTCAGCTCAACCCACTTCATAGGATTGTTGTGGTGGGTAAAATAGGAGGCAGGAGAATTAGGTATGTTCCTAATTAGATTTAATTAGGAATGTTCCTAATTAGATATGTTCCTTCCAGGATAAAAATCGAATAATGATGATATATATCAAGGATTATGGTTTGTGCAGATAGATTTAAGAAGTGCAAATTAAGTCAGTTCTTCTGAAATTGCATACCAGTCATTTGCGGCTCCTTGAAGAAAAGAGCCAGTTTTTATAAATCTTCCCTGCTTGATTCCATACAGGTGATTCTGACTAGGCACAGACAATTCCATAGAAAGACTTAAACAGATAAGCAAAATATCTATATATCAGGAGTCACCAACAGCATCCTTGCCCCCAAATAATAACATGAAACTTTGCAATATTACCAAATTCACCAATCTTGTTCGATTTTAGGTGAGCAGAGCAAATCTTACAGGCAGAAAGGGTGGCTAACTTTGCCACATACAACTATATCTTATATTTGTGCATTTCATTATATTAAAATAAGGCAAGAACCAAATAAACATGTAACTATTAGTTTATCTAAGATGTTCTATCCTGACAAGGCTTTTATTCATAGGTTTTATGAAGAAGCTGTCCAGAATTAGTCATCTATTTGTATCCCTCCTCTGTGTCCCCACTATTTCTTTCACATTTCCATACCCAAAAATCAGTTCAGGAGGGAAAGACATAATAGATATAAAAAGTCACTTGACTGGCTCTGGAAGATTCCTCTGTCTTGGATAGTGAAGGACATCATCTCTGAGTCCCATCGAATCCAAGAGATAATTCTGCTCATTTTCAAATCCATCCCAATTCAGATTGAATCTGTCCTCAATCTTGCTGCCATTCCTTATCCATTCAACTGCTCTTCCACAACTCCCTCCCCATTTATGGGAGAAAAAAGCAGCAACAGCATTTTGGCCACCTTCCATGGTCAGGAGAGGGAAGAAAGGAGTAATGCTACCTTCTTTTTAGTTCATTGCATTCCTGTGAAGGAGGAAATCAGTTTATTCCCCTCAGGATGGATGGCAAACAGCAGCATAAACTCCTATACAACCCTATGCTTCTCTCACATCATCTCACTCTACCCTATGTTTTTGCATCATGATGAAAACCTCTCTTGCTTAACTCCAGATGTACATTTTTCATACCATGCATTTTGTTAGATTCCTGGAAATCCTCATCTTTCTTGTTAACCGTCGAGGGCTCTCCAGTAAAAGCATCAATGTTTATGTCAAGGTAAAAACTCAGATTCTCATCAAAGACAGTAAAGAGCAGGTAGAATTCTCTGTCAACTCCTTTCTGTAGCCAAAACATAAATATTGCTCATTAAAATTGCAAATGTTCAGTCTGCACATTATATAGAAAATCAGAAAGAAATTTTCATCAGCTTCCTGATCATTTCCTCTTCCCATGGGGGTGGGGCATGTTGGCTGCTACCTAAATTATGGATTTAAAAAAAAAATTAAAGTAACTTATCATTGAAACTGCCTGTCCTTTGTGCCATATCTGATATTTTAAAACTGCCACCCAGACAGGCTTACTACCACTAGCCTTTAGCTAACATAGCACAGCCTTTTCTTAATCAAAGTGCCCACTTTTCCCCTATTGTCCACAATTTATATTAAAACACCTGTTAATCATTACAAGATTCAATTCTGCTGCTTTACAAAGAATTTCAGGAATGTTGCTGTTAAATAAAGTGAAATTCCATTGTTTAAGATTTTTGCTTGTTAATCTCTGGGGGCAGTTTGGTTGGAAGTTCTAGAGAGGGGACATTTTCAGCAGGGGCTCCATATTTCTGAAACAAATTACTGGACTACCTAAAGCTCACTAAGCCCTATCACCACCAACTTTTCAGGAAAGTCATGAAGACTCACTTATTTTCATGGTCTTCTTTTGAATTGATTATTTAGGCAATGGGCCTGATTGCAATTTTTTAAAGTATTTTTTTAGTAAGCTTAATTACGGTCACTGAAGTTTATTTACTGATCCTGAAGTTGCTGGTCTTGAAATATTTGTTTTCATCCTCGCAAGCTGCCCTTCAGATATGTGAACTTCAACTCCCACAACTTTTCTGGCCAGCAGGACTATTGCTGAGAATTCTGGGAGTTGAAATCCACTTATCTGGAAGGTGCTAAACTTGAGGAAAGTATGAGATATGTTGAATTACAACTCTTGTAACTTCCTTAGTAATCATGACCAAGGCTGCTGTAACTGAACATCAAGAGTTAGGCTATATCTGTTGACTTCTTCCCTGGGGTTTTAACTGACCACTATGGCAGACTCTTCTAGTTTTAGCATGTTCTGACCCAGCAAGGTAAGTCTTATGTTCTCAAGTTGTTACTGGGTCTGTTTGCATCTGGATTTGTGCAGGAACCATCCTTTCACTTCACTTGTGCAGTCAGCCATTCAGAATGCCATCAAGGTTTGTACCTGGGTTCCATCCGGTTTCAGAGTATTCTTCTTACAAATGATAAGAGGTCCCACCAGACCAGACTGGGTATCCATCATTGGATCAGTTGCTGAATAATATGGATAAGTGAGGCATGCTGGATCATTGTCTGTTGGGCCAACACTTTCAGGAACTCTCCATTCATACTTAAAGGTCTCACCAGGTTTAACAAAAGCTCCTGGCTTTGGATACCCTTAAAAGAAAAAAGTCAAAATATCCCTATAAAATCAAACTGTTATTGAAATCCAAAGATCATCTGAGTATCCTACTCATAGAAATAAATGGTATCATATAGGGGCCTACATGGAAAAGCTGAGTAAAAATATCTGCATAAATAAAGATGTTGATATATTGGAATTGCAGCTGACATAGAAAGATTTCAGTCTTTCAGGGAACACTTCAGGCTGTGTTCACACAACACAGTTAACTAGGTCAGGTAAAATCTTAACATATACAATAGCACAACAAGCTAAACTTGATTAGTGTTAACCTTAATTAGATTGTGGCATAGCCTGTTGTCTGCGTCCAGCCAGACTGATTATTGACTCACTGTAAGAACTGAGAAAATGGGTTATTCAGTAAACAAGTTAAGTGCGTTGTCTGAACACAGCCACAGTTTTATCACCATGTTACCACCACCTTAAAAGAATAGTGATGTGGACTCTGCCTTAACTAGGTGATGCTGTCTGCATACCAAAGAACCACTACTGATGTAATCATATGGAAATCTGCCAATGATTTAATAATGGTGTTTCTATCAACGTGGAGTAGAAGACACAGTGCTGGGGACATTTAAAACTCACTTTGGAGATTTAAAACTCACTTGCTCTTTTTCAGCCTAAGGATAATTCATGGATTGTGTTCACACCAGAGATTCATCCAGACCAGATCCAGATCAGTTAAGCACCTAGCAGGCTGTATTTGCACAATAGGCTAAACTTCATTTTAACAATGACTAAGAGATTTTTGAGTATAGTTTAGGGTTCATCCA